ACACCCCCTGCCACACACACACACACACACACACACACACACACACACACAGTGCCTAGCTTTTCATGACTCTTCCTGCCCCCACCCCAACCCCAGCCGTCACCCTTTCACTACTCACCTCTCCCCACAACATCTATGTTGTCTCATCCTGGGTCCTCTACCTTCACAGGCGTGGGGTGGCATGTGGTATTACGGGGAGAAGAGGAGGACAGAAATTAGGACTGGTGGGGATGAGGGGCCTTGGCAGGGCCCTTGTGTGTGTGGCACCCTAGGACTGCATTCCAGCCCCAGCTCTGGCCCAAATCACTGGGTGACCTTGAACAGGACCTTGTCCACCTAAGGCTCAGCCTCTACTTTGGTATGAAGGGCTCGCAGACCCTCCTAGGTGTGGTGTTCTATGGATTTTGTTTACTTTCAGGGACAAGGGAGGATCATGGGTGGAGAAGTGGTGAGGAGCAGGGCCCCAGGGGTGGTCTGGGATGGTGGAGGGTTGGAGGTTCATTGGCCCTCTGCAGGGATGTGAGGGCTCTGTCAACTCTCTGATGTGCAGTCAGGAGAAAGGTGGCAGGCTTATCCTGCATCAGCTCAAGGAAAGCAGATACTTTCTAACGCGGAGCCATGGGCTGCTTGTGAGGTGGTGAGCACCCTGTCCCCAGGGGAGTAAAGACAGGACTCCTGGTCTTATCGTAGTGGTTGATGGTGACCTTAGGGCACGGGGATTTGGACCCTGTCCCAGTGAGCAGCACAGATCTTGAATCTCAGCAGAGGAAGGCCTTTTGCCGGTGGGTGGGACCCCATCTGCACATCTTCCTAAGCTTGCTCACGCCCCAGTTCCACCATTAGGGTTCCATCCTCCCTTGAAGCTGTGTGGCCTCCAATTAGCTATAAGACATTATCACCCCAAACAATTAGTCATTGAGCGGAGGGAGGGGGCAGATGTCCACCACGTCTGCTTCGAGATCTGAGGCAAATCCAGATCCTCATTGTTATGGCTGCTTCTTAGTTCTACGGGAAATGGTTCCACGTGGCCATAGGCTCTACCTGCCCTTGGCTGATGAGGTTCAAGGACAGGCTGGCCATCAGCACGCTGACGCTGAGAGAGGGCGCGACGGAGAGGCAGCTCAGCACGGCCAGCACTCTTTGGCGGTGAGCTTGGGCATGGAGTGGGAGGGGCAAGGGGGACCCCACCCTGGCCTCGTCCTCACCCCGTCCTGGAAAGTTACAGACCTCTCCCTCCAGGCAGGCCCTCCCCTCGGAGCTCCAGATCTCTCTGCTCTGCTGCCATCAGTGAATCCCTTTCTAACCGTCCCATCTGCACCTCGAGGACAATGCCCCCAACACTGTGCCTGTTTTCCAACCTGCTCTTGCTCCTTGGCTGTCCCTTCGCTCAGTAAGGGCCCTTCTACCTGCCAGGGACCCGGCCCGGAAACCCGGGCAGAGGCAGGTGGCCTGGACTCCTCGCTCTGCTGTCATGAGCCATGCAATCCATCATCAAGCCCCATCCATTCTCTTCCTAAGTCCTTCCAATCTGTTCACTTCTCCCCTCTCCCCCGCCACCGCCTTGGTCCAAGCCACCTTCCTTTCCTTACTGGTTGTGTGCAACAGCTTCTCTACATTTCTCCCCACCTCGAATTTGAACCTTCCATCCAATCCATTCTTCACTCAGCAACTAGAAACACCTTTTCGAAAACTCAAATCTGCTTAAACCTTTCCATCGCTCCCTATTGCCCTTGGAAATAAAACTCAATCTTTTTGACGTGGCCTCCCAGGCCCCTCCCAGAACTCACCGTTCCCTGCCCCGCTGTTTCCCATGTACTCAGTGACCCACTCAAGGGGACCTTCTTCCAGTTTCTGGAACTCCCTCTCCTCTTGTACCCCTCGGCCTTTGCATTGTATGTTCCTTCTACTGGGAAAACCTCTCCCCACTTTCCTGGGCTAATTCCTATGGATCTTGAGGACTGAGGTTCTATGTCACTTCCTCCAGGAGGCCCTCCCAGGCCCCCCAAGTTCAGGTGACATGCCTTCCCTTGTGCTCGCCGAGCGCCTTGTGCTTGCCCCCCACGTGGCACACTGACTGCATCTGCCTCTGCCCTGCCCACCCACCCCACTCAATTGTGAGCTCCATGAGGGGACAGGGTCCATTCCCCTGTATTCCCAGAACATAGCACAGTGCTTGACACAGACATACTGCTCCATGTTCAGAAGATAAAGAATATTCACCATAACAATAACAGCTAAGGTGTGCATAGCGCTTACGCTGAGCTCTGCCGAGTCCTCATTTGATCCTTACAGCCACCATGTGAGTTAGAAACGATCGTTATCCCCACTTCACAGATGAAGAAACTGGGGCAAGAGAGACACAGAGTAATAAGTGAATGAGTGCATTAATGAAGGAGTGCACTCTGATTCCCCAGTGCGTCAGTATAATGTGCGGATTTGGTTAAGGAAGCTGATTTTTAGTGTTTGATATGCAAAGGATGGCATGGAATAGTCTCTTTTTTCTCTGTCCTGCTGTTCCTTCTTGTGTGAAATGGGTGTTTCCAAGGACAGGTGTGAAGGGAAGGACCCGGCAGGAGAGTGGAGTGTCAGGACCATGGTCTCTACCAGAATTCACCTTTCTTTGGGTTTGTTCATTTCCAGAAAAGGCTTCTGTGAGGAGACCTCCGGGACTTATGAGAAAGCAGACACTGATGGAAAGTTCCTCTATCAGAAACCTAGTAAGTTGAGTCTAAGGAGACATCCACAGTTTTCTCCTTTGCTAAAATATACCTTGATATCGTCTTAAGCTCTCTTTCCTTCTGACTCAGCTCACTCTGCCCCTATAAACTTTCCTCCCATATTTCTGAAATGTCATCTAGCTTTGCTCCAAAGTTCCTCTTTTATCGCCTCCTCTCTCTCTCCCTCTCTCCCTCTCTCTCTCTCTCTCTCTCTCTCTCTCTTCCTCTCTCTCTCACATCCAGAATCAGAGTGATGGTATGAAAGCCGAGGAGAACATCAAGAGTCATCAGTCTTCCTGATGGGCATCTGCAATCAGCTGATAAAAATGTGCTGAGCATCTACCACGTACGGTGTGCGTGGTGCTACATGACAGAGGGACTTAGACATGAATTTATTCATTTGTCCAGCACATGTTTATTGACTATGCTCTATGTGTCAAACAATTGTGTTAGGGGGTGAATATATGAATGTTTGGGTAGATGGATGGTTAGATAAACAAATGAGAGAATAAACAGATGATTGGTACATGAATACATGTATAGATGGCAGGTAAGTGAGTGAATCAGACACCTAATAAATACACCACCTAGTAGGTGGTTTAATGGATAGAGGAAAGAAGCAAGAAAGGAGGGAAAGAAGGAAGGAAGAAAGGAGGGAGGGAGGGAGGAAAATGGATGAATTTATGGATTGATATGTGGGGAGGATGGATGGATGGAATGATAGTGGGTGAATTAATGATGAATATAAAGAGGAAATGGATGGACAGAGGGAGGCTGAAGATGGATGGATAGATAAACAAGTATACAGAGAGATGGGTGGACAGGATGGCTGAAAGGATGATGTGTGGGCAAACAGGTGAGCGATCTCAGGCTAGGGGAGCCTCTGACCAGTGAGCCCTTTTTCTTCCTGCGTCTCCCACACAGAATGGAACACCACCATCGAATCCTATGTGGTGCACACCAACTATGATGAGTATGCTATTATTCTGTCCAAGAAATTAAGCCACCGCCACGGACTCACCATTACTGCCAAGCTCTATGGTAAAGGCCTGGAACTACCTAAGTTCATTGGAGTTGGGGGTGGCAGGTGACCAGCGACTTAGGGATAATGAAGTGGGGCGGAGCAGGGAGTTTTGCTTTTTCCTTCTGACAAAACTTCACTTAAGGGAAAGGTGAGAACATTTATTCTTCTTGGAGGAGGTAGAGCTCAGTCTCCCATTTGAGGCAGAAACCTCTTCTTTTGATCTCTAAAATTCCAGGCCCAGAGAATTCCCGTCTCCAGGCCCTTCAAGGAACCAGTGGAAAGAGCCCTGTGTGGGGAGTTGGGATACGTGGGTTGTGGCCGGGGAGGGACATCTCTTCCTCTTCTGGGGCTGTTCTTTCCATAAGTGTATAGAAGACATCAAACTGGGCCAACAGTTTGCAAACTACCCCTAAACAAAAATCACTGGGCAAAATCATCTCAGGCCTTGCCAGCCCAGGCACCTGTGGTTCTAGGCATCTTCTCTGCTTCCCACTGGCAGGGCGGAGGCCGCAGCTTCGGGAAAGCCTGCTGGAGGAGTTCAGGCAGGTTGCTCTGGGTGTGGGCATCCCCGAGAACTCTATCTTCACAATGGCTGACAAAGGTAAATGGCACCCCCACCCCACCTCATATTTTTGTTCCCTCTTCATCCTTTATGGTCCCAGAGAACATCTTCCCAGCCCCTGGGTCTTTCTCGTAACCCTCTGAGATGTGCAGGGCAACTGTCCTCTTTCCTTCTTTCCAGAGAAGGCAGCTGGGGCTCCTGGATTTGCTCCAAGTCACACAGCGTGTACCTGGCAGAGCCCAGACTAGAACCAATTCAGTGTTCACTCACTTCCACGTGTCTAAGTGAGGTTATATCCAGAATCCATAAGTACCTCATAGGAGGCAATAGCGTGTTGGGGTTAAGAGCGTGAGCTCCAGACTTACAACACCTAGGTTCAAACTGACCGTGTGTCTTCTGGCTGGTCAACCTTCCAGAGCCTCATTTTCTTCATCTGTAAAATGGGGATAATAATGCCTCCCTTGTAAGTTGCTGTGAGGAGTCAATGAGATAAAGCCATTAAATACAATAGCGCTGTGACTGGTGTCTAGTTAGTGTCCAATGAATGTTAGCCATTGCTGTTCTTGTGATGGTGCTGATGAAACGCTGGTGGTGGGGCAGAGCTGACACAAATGGTGATGATGGTGCAGCCATCAGTCTGTCTCTTCACCAATGAATGACCTTCTGCAAGCCATGTGGGTGGAGTCATTCATGAAGTGGGCTGATGAACAAGACAGTTCCCAATGAGATGCCCTCCAAGGGAGGCGCTCTTAGTCACCTCTGTCTCCTGTCCTCTGATCTAGGAGAGTGTGTCCCTGGGGAGCAGGAATCAGAGCCCACTTCACCCCCGGTGAGTACCTCTTTCCCCCACTCCATCCCCTCCCTGCCCACTTGATTTTTGCTGCCCTTGCTTAGGTCCTGCTGTGGTGGTAGGTGGGGTCATTGAGAAGGAAAGACAGTGAGGGGCATGGGTTTTGAAGTGAGACCCCCCTGGACTCAATCTCAGCTCGGTCATTTAGGCTAGTTGCTGCTCCATCTGGAAATGGGGTGATTATACTTACCTTCCAGGTACTAGAATTCAGCCACATGCTAGAAAAAGACTTAGCATAGTACCTAAAAGCAGTAAACTACTTAATGAAATAACAGTAGTCAATACTCAATAATGAAAATAAAAGTTAATTGGTCTTTCTAAGAAACAGCAAACCTGAGAGCAAGCGCCTTCTTAAACCACCTCTTCTCCTATGCTGCCTTTAGATTTTTTGGACTTCCTTACTCTTCTGTTTTATTTTCCTGTTTTTCGATTGAGCTTTATTCATTCTTTTTTTTTCTTTGATTACTTGAAAATTATATACCTTAATTTACTCTACTGATGTGTGTGTATGTATAATTATATATAATATTTACTTAGAAATATATTTTTGAAAATTGAACAATACAAGAAAAAAATGTCCTTGTTCCTACATAGAATTAACACTGTTAACATATTATTTGTTTGCCTCTACATTTTTAAGAAAAATTACCATCGACTTTATAAAACTATGTTCATTATAAATAATTAAAACAATGCAGAAAAGTATAAAAATAAGTTTTTAAAAATTCCACCACCTAAAAACTACCAGCATTCACATCATTCCAGGAATCTTGACATGCATACATGTGGATGGAAGGACAGGTGGAAGGGAGGTTGGATAGACAGAATCACAGATTTAGATATACTGGTATTACATGACATATTATAGATATATTACAGATACTATTTGTTAATTTTTAAAAGCTTTAATTGTAATTTTATTTGAATTTTTAAAAAAATGAAGTGGACTTCTTGAACGTCAAGTAGTATTTCTTTACCTCCAGAGATTATTTCCTAAAGAACGCTCTAATTAAATTTAAGGCTATAAAAAAAGAAAGAAAAAAATCATTTAAGAGGCTGGCATCACTGGATATGCTTTTAGATAATATATTGTCTCTATTATTTGAAAGACAAATGTTAGCACTCTCAAACTCTGTTCCATCTCTTGTCCCCTTTTTCCTTTACATTGTCCACATTGCTACCATCCCCATTCTGCTCTGCAGTTCATCCCAGACATTTCATGGTAGTCTGGGAATAATAGTTCTGTATTTTAACGGCTTCTACACTTATCCTTAGTGAATATATAGCCACAGTGTCTCCATTCCTGAGTTATTTTTTTTCTATTAATCTTAATTAGTGCCATTTCTTTAGCCAGGGGTGTTTTCGAGGAGGGTTCGCGAATGTTTTAACCCCTGAATTCTTCCCTGTTTGAGAATGTCTGCCCGCGTCTTTCATACTTGAATGACGTTTTGCGTGGATGTCATATTCTTGGGTCATGTTTTCTTTCCCTCGGAAAAGGCTTCGTATGCATTGCTCCATTGTTCCCAGGCTCTGATTATCGCTGTGGGGAGCTGGAGGCCAGCCTGATGCTTTTTCTCCTTGTAAGCACTTTGTTTCTTCTGCCCGGATGCCTCAACAAAGTTTATCCTTGAAGTCGACATCTTGATAAGGACATGCCTTAGTGTTGAGAATTCCATATCAAAATTTCCTGGAACACAGCATGCTATTTCCACCCACAGATTAGATTTCTTCTGTATTTCAGGGAACTAACTCTCTTGCACGGTATGGAATCCATCCTCCATTCCCTCTGTGGGGTTTCAGCACCTCAGGAACACTTGTTCATCCTGCAGCCATCTTTGTCTTCCCCATGTATTAACGTCTCCCAAATTACTTCCATCTGTATTCACTGGGATTATCACCGGTCTTTCTTTATGACAGTCACTCCATTTAGCAGCATCCATTCCGTTCCTTACGATTTCTAATTTAATCACCAGCTCTGAAATTATGTCGTTTTGGTTCTCAATTTGCTTCTCTGAGGCTGGGTTCTCTCTTTTCATCTTATTCTGTTGTTTACCATGTCAACTTTGAGTCTTGTTTTAATAAATGCATGTTCTTATTAAGTCATTGTATAGCTTGAGGTCATTGAGGAATTTCCTTCTGCTCCTGGAGTTATGTTTTCTTCTAAGTTGGTGTCACAGATGGGGTGCCCCAGGTCAGCACTTGTGGAAGGGAAAGGATGAAGAGAGGACTAGGCAGCGGGAGAAGTAGAGCTGCGATGTGGTCACAATGCCTCAGCAAAACCTCTAGGGAGCTCTGGAGCCAGCAGGACTGTTCTGAGTTGTCCCAATGGTGCTGAGGGGTGGGGCCTTGATACCCCCATGGTGATCAGTCTGGGAAGGGCACATGGCCTTGAGCTAGAGGGCTTCCTTTAGCTGAGCAGGGGCTGATACCTGAGGACTGTCAACAGCAGCACTTCTGGCCTCTGGGAATGTAAGTCCATTTCTGAGGGGAAGTCTAGGCAGTTCACAACCGTCGGACTTTCTCTAGTTCAGGCTATTTATTCATTTATTTCTGAAGTGGGTCTGGGTAGTTTCTGTACCATTTCCTTCTATCTTGCTCCTGCTTCGTCAGTTTTAGCCAGACTTTCTGTCTGAACTTCTGTGGTGGGGTGGGGAGTTTCATTTACTCCTTGGCCCTTTCCTCACTAAATTTGAGCCTAGTCCCCTCCCACCGAAATTTAGTGTGCGGTCTGAGTATTTTGTGTTCCATCCACTTTCTGAAGTCCAAGGTTATTTGGAATACTCGCATTTCGCTCTCTCTTTTGAAGGACTGCAAAGCATCCTCTGTGGGCTTCCTTCCACCTGGTTGGGGCTGGCAGTGATGTACAGCTGTCTCATGACAACACCCCCTGAGCATTAAATCGTGTAGCTCCAGACCCTTCTCTTAGAGTCAGCCTCTATTTTCCTTTTTCTTCCCCCTAGTCATTCTTACTGCTCCTCTGTCAGAAGAGGGAAAAGATAGGGTTCCCCTCAATTTTCTTCTCACAGGATTTGGGAATCTCAGGATTAGGGAGGGTTATCAGGAATTTGATGATTTTCCAGGACTGGGAGTTGGAGAGCAGGGTTAGGAGCTGAACCTTGCTGACCATCCTGTTTAGCTCCAGAATATCTGATTTCTTTCCTTCATTGACAGTCTCAGTTTTTGCTTTAAATTATGCCCCTCTCCTTGTTTGAGTGACGTTGATGAACATGTGGGGGCTGGTATTTCTGAATTCATTGTTTGCTAATTGTTAGGTATTGGAGAGGGCAATTTTGAGGGACATTTCAATCTTCCATCTTAATCCAGATCTCAATGGAATCTATTTATCAATATGAGGAATGAAGCAATAGCTAATGACACCACTTGCAAAAGAGAGAAAAGTAGCACATTATCTTTTTTACACGCTTCCCACATCTCTATTTTTGTGGCTATACTCTGAGGTTGATGTTTATCTTTTCCATCTTTCATTTTGAAAGTTATTTTTAACATTTACATTAAATTGTATGACCACTTTAACAATAATGTGACCTCAACTCTATATTTTATTGGCTTTATAGTTTACCATCATTCCTTTGCTATCACATCATCCTTTTTTAATTTTTTTATTTTTTGTATTTATATTTTTTGCTCAATTGGTGGGAATATTTCTATAAATAATTTTTCTGGCAAGATACATTGGTGAAAAACTGGGTCCTTGCATGTCTGAGACTATCTTTCTGTGTTTATAACACATGGTCGACAGCTTGGATGAGTGAAGAATCCCTAGGTTACAACCTTTTCCCTCTTACAACCTCAGATATTGCTCTGCAGCTTCTGTCATTAAATATCACAAATTTACTCTGAGGGCCACTGGGCTCTTCATCCTTTGTCTCTAGAAAATGCCTAGGTGGGGCTCTTCATTAATTTTGCCTTAATTCCCTTGAGCTCTTATAATTGGACAACTCAAGTCTTTCTACAACTGGGAAAAGTTTTCTTCTATTATATTTATGTTGATTGCCTCTTCTAGAACTCCTATTAAGTGAATGTCTTTCTTATAATTTCTAAACTGCAGTTTATTATCTCTACTGTGTGGTTAAATTCAACAAAATCTTTTCCATCTCCAATAACTTTCTACTTATCTCATATTATTCATTCCCATAACTGTTGACTTCTGTTACATTGAGGCAATGTCATCTTGAATTTCACTGATGGTTTAAGTTTTCTCCTGTTTCTTACTGTCATCCTGTGTTTAGTGGGGACATTTCTCCAGCTCAGTCTGATTCTTTTGAGCATCTGCATTATTTAATATGTCCCATGATTTTTCTCTTTTCCTTCATTTTCACCAAGGAAGGTCTACACGTGACTACCTCGAGATGGGTTCTGGCAGACAGTGGAATCCCTAATCACAGCTTTCAGTTGCACCTTAAAATGAAGAGGGAAAAGCTAAAAGTTACTATAGTTTTTTACTTTTGCAGATTCCAGGTCTCACCTGTGTACAGGAAGACTGCCTAGCAGCTGTCATTTGCCTGTTCATCCCTTCTTAAATTGCCCTGGGATCCTGCCACAGGGGACTCTATACTCAGAGACACTTTTGACAGTTCCGGCAGTCTTCCCTGTTCTGCAGTCCCCACCCCCACCACAGCTAAGAGTGTTAGGGTCAGTCTCAGGTCCTTCTCCTTACTTTATAGAAGGCTTTTCCTCTGCAAGCAGCTTCCTTAATAGGCATCCCTTCCTGCAAACCAGTCACACCCATACTTTGTTGTGTACAAATGCCTTTAAGTTTCTAGCATTGGAATGCTGCCCTACCCTGGTTTCCAACTCTGGGGTAGGTTTCTTCTCATTATTTTATTCTTTTGGCATTTCAACTGGAAGTTGGACATGTAGGTATTGTTATACCTCGAGGTGCTGATTTTCCCGTCTGTACCAGAAATCTGTCTTGTGATGCCCATTCTGAAATTCAGGTTGATGCGTTTGGAGAAACAGTCCATTAGTCAGTATAGTAGCTGTGCTTCTGTTTACTCCTTGATTCCTGAAGTAGATGGTTTATTTCTGTATTCCAGGGGTACAAGTGAGCAATAGTGGCAAGGTCCCTGCAACAGCTTCTCTTTCTTCCCCCTAGAGAGCCCGGCGGGCTGTGCTGCCCCAGGAAGAGGAAGGATCGGGGGCTGGGCAACTAGTAACTGATTTAAAGAAGAAAGAAGGTAATGATCACTCACCTTTTCACCCCCTTCTGCATTACTCAGAGAGGAAGGACTCGTGGCTGGTTCCCCCTGCTGCCCTCACAACCATGAAGTCTCTCTTATTTTTCTGCTAGAATCAAGGACTGGGTCTAGAAAAGGCAAATCAAGTACTCTGCCCTGTGGCAGGAATTGTGAGGGGACAGGAGATAAGGCATGGTCCCTAAGCTCAGGAACCCAGCTCCACGATGAGAAGCCAGTCCTTGCCCTGTCTGCATCACTGTGTGGCCTCCTAGCCTTGGTTTCCTCATCTGTGCAATGGGATAACAGCCTGCTGAGCTGACCATCAGGGCTCTTATGGGAACAGGTGGGGGAAAGGACATGAGGATGCTTTGGGCAGTTGACAGTGTTTACGAACAACTCACTCGCCAACTCACTCAGCAAACATTGAACCCTGCTCCACCCCAGACCCTGTGCTGGGCACGTGAGTCACGGAAACAAACCACCTATGACTTTTTGGAAGTGCTGGTCTAGTAGGAGAGGCAGTCAAGGAAGAAAGTAATGGACCCAAAAGGGAGGGTCAGCTAATAAGCTGGGGGAACTCAGAGGATGGAAGGGTGAGCGGATCAAGGAAGACTTCACAGATAAAGGGGAACTCCTGCTGTGCCCAGGTATCCAGGTAGGGTTTTGTGGAGGAATGCATTTCATGGGCAGGAACATGAGAGCAAAGGCATGGGGCTGGGGCCTCAGTGAAGAGGTCAGGCTGGCCAGCATGGGTGCTGATGAATGTATCAACTACTATTATTACAGTTTTGGGGCAGACAAGATCAACATAGGAGATGATGGGTCTGTGAGTCGCTGTAACTCCTGGGGTTATGGAGTGGAATGAGCATTGCTTATGGAGTCCAACAGACATGGTTTTGAATCTCAACTCTATGTGACCCTGGGCAAGGCACTTAACCTCTCAGAGAGTCAATTTCCTCATCTATAGAATGAGTTGATAATCCTTCCTCTTAGGACAGAGATGAAAACTAAGTGAGATGATGCATGGTAAGTGTCCAGCCTGGTGACACATACACAACAAGCACTCAGTAAGTGCTGCTGTTATGCCCCTCCCCAGATTCTTGCCAGCTAGGCTACGCAGAAGGTCCTTGCTTGGGGATGGTCAAGAGGTATTTCTATAACGGCTCATCCATGGCCTGTGAGACTTTCCAGTACGGTGGCTGCCTGGGCAATGGCAACAACTTCGTCTCGGAGAAGGAGTGTCTACAGACCTGCCGAACTGTGGGTAAGTGCGGCCCCTCTGCCTCTGTGCACACACCTCACAACGCTGCCCTCCCAGCAAACCACTTGCCAGCTGAACAGGTAGCTAAGAGAGGATGTTCCTGTGGTGGAACATTTCCAGGGCAAGTTTCCTGACATCACAGGAGTTGCACATTTGCATATGGGTGACCCTAGGAAAGTTGTTTTTTTTTTCATGAGCCCGAGTTTTCCAGTCTAGAGAGAGGGACTAGGTGGTCTAGATGAGCAGGGTCCCCTAGTTCAGGCCCTTTGCCTCAGGTCAGCCAATCATAAGGATTACTAATGCTGTGTGCCTCCCTTCCACTCCACAGCGGCCTGCAATCTCCCCATAGTCCATGGCCCCTGCCAAGGTTCCATCCAGCTCTGGGCATTTGATGCTCTCCAGGGGAAGTGCATCCTTTTCACCTATGGGGGCTGCCAAGGCAACGGCAACAAGTTCTACTCGGAGAAGGAGTGCAAGGAGTACTGTGGTGTCCCTGGTGATGGTAGGAGGCCCTGCGGGGTGCCAGGCTGGGCCAAGGGGCTGTTGGGATCCAGGTAGGAGAGTTTTGGTAGGAGGCGGGCGTCTGGAGAGCTGAGTTCTGGACTCTGTGCCAGGTGACCAGCCCATCCATGCTCTGGACCTCAGCTTCCCATCTGTAAAATGGGGCCAGGCCCTATTACCCAAGCTGGGAGGGGGCATCTGGGGCAGGGCTGATCAGGCACAGGCAGAGGGTGTGTAGGGCAGGCTGAGGAGTCAGCAGAGCTGGTCTAGAATTCTGGCGCTGCCACATCCGGGCTGGCCATGCTGGGCAAGTGCCAATTTGAGCCTGTTTTCTCTTTCATAAACTGGGACAAAGTACTTACTTCCCAGACTTCCCAGTGCCTAGCACAGCTAGGATTCAGCTAACGGCAGCTGTTACTGATAACGATGGTGGTGTTACAATGAGACCAGTAATAGCATTCCAGAGAACAGCAGCCATTTAAGATTTCTGTACCTTATCTCCCCACTGGAAAATGGTACCTAAAGTAAATCAGAAGCAAAAAATCAGATCATTCTGTGGAATGCACTTTTGGAGATTCAGCAAGCAGAAGTTTCTGGCCTCAGGTTCAGGCCTCAATCCAGCCCACGCTGCCTTTCCCCCTCCATGAGGCAGCCCCTCCTGGTGGTCCCCTCCCAGGGACCCTCGGTAGAGCCCCACACCTGTTCCCTGAGCTTCTCTCTGTCCACAGGGGATGAGGAACTGCTGCGCTTCTCCAACTGACCAGTCCAAGGCAAGAAGTCCACAGACCAGAGGGTGGCAGGGAGGCTGCGGGCCAGTGTCTATCCCAGGGCTCCACATGGGGCAGGCTGGGCCAAGAGACCTGGGTTCAAATAAAAACCACACTGTAGGCTCCTGAAAGTCCATGTCCTGACTGTTCATTGTTATCATTAGTGTAACGGGGGACGGGAGGGGCAGGAGACAAAGCTGGGGTGGAGACACGAGTAACTCAGCTTTTCCCTAGAAGTGAAAAAGTGCATGTGCTGGAAATGTAATAGAACTGTCTCCTACACATGAAATAGGGTATGCAAATTATTAAATATAAATCACAGTTCAATAAAAGCCTTGGGCTATTTCTCCACCAGGCCCTCTAGTTCCCATCTCCTGGGATCCTCACTTTGTGCTGGGTGAATGTCCACTGACCTTTACATTATGTCCATGACAACCAGCAGGGCCCTTGACCAGACCCAGCAGCCCTTGGTCTGGCCTGGCTTCTACTCCATTGAGAATAGGCAGGCCATCCAGCGTGGCTCAGGCACCAACATGGCCTGGGAACACGACTCCGGGAGCCTCCACTTTAGACACACTGGATATACAAACATCCGTTTTATAAGTATCTCTTGCTAGCTCCACCCACCGAGTCCTGCTGGATGTAGCTGCTGCTGAGAGCATAAAGACCCAGCTTTGTGTGCTGACCCGGCAGCAGAAACCCAGGCAGGGCCAACGCTTCTTCTCCGTGGGGTGACCAGCATGCTAAGGGGTGGGGGCTAATTCAGTCAAAGGTTGTCCCCATGCCATTAGCCCATTTGCTTACGAGACCCATCAAGAAGGAAGAAGGGAGAAAGCTCTATATCTTTCATTGAAGGGATAAACCCAGAGGCAAGGATTTGGGTGTAGGAAACTTTAGAGCCCCCTTAGCCTGATCACATGAAGTACTCCCTCCCCGGTCTCCCCTAAAGTCCAGAGCTTGGGGTTTCCAGGTTCCAACAGAGAGGACTGCCCTGAGGGACAGTGTTTGTAGTCATGGCCAAGAGTCTCTGGGCAGAAGTGGGTGGAGTCAGGGCAGTGGGTTCAGGGAGAAGTGACCGACAGGCTCTCCAGCCTGGAACTAATAAATGTCGTCACATCTTGTGTCCATACCTTGCTTCCCTCCATGCATGCATCACACATCAGGGACGGCCTCCTATGGCAGTTTGAAGGTGCCACTCTGAAGAGGGATATTTTGAAGAACAAATGCTTAAACCAGAGGGTGCAAGCCACAGGTGCACAGGCCAGCTGGTGGACGGGGTGTGTGGCTTAGAAGGTATATTTTACAGTTCTGAATTCACCATTTAAAAACTGAGCTTCCGTATAAAAATCTGGGTTTCTCAATTCTCTAGAAAAATACATTCGGGCAACCCTGGGCCTGCATCCTTCACACTGAGAGGCGGGAGCTGAGTTGAGCCAGCCCCTGTAGACAGGCCCTGCTAGGCATTTGTTTCCACTTACTAAAGCCTTCATGACAAAAAATTCCATTGGATTCTCCTGACTTTATCCCTCAGGGGTGGAGTGGGGTTCAAGTACATACGATAACTAAGTCCACGATGCTTATCTCTGAGGCCCAGAGACATTCTCAGCGAAGCGGCTGCCCTAAAGACTCACTTGATTCTTTTTTTTTTTATTGTGAAATAAGCATTTTTTAAAATTAGTTTCAGCTGTGCAACACAGTGCAAGTTATACTTTTTACCCCTCAAAGTGACAACTCCCCTCCTCCAATCCACCGCCCCACTCCCCCCACCATATCATACATATCTATTAGAAATCC